CCCACCCCCCCCCCGCCGCTGGTCCCCCCCCCCGTGGGGAGTCCACGGAGGGCCGTTTCTTGGACAGCCCTCTCTTTGTTCGCTTCGGCCGTGGCGGCTCCGCGTTTTCTTTGTCTACCGGGACACTGCGCTGCCCACGCTATCCCCTCCTCCGCGCAGCTCCCCCCCGAGCATTCGGCGCTTTCGTGTCCGTGCGAGAAGGGAGCGGAGGCCTGAAGGCGAACGGAAAGCGGTCCGTGAGGGGCTTCGGTGGGGGACGCTGAGACCTTGAGGCTCCTGCGAAGGCACCTCCGAGCGGCAGCGCGGGGGGAACCGTCCGAGTTTCTCCTCTTCAGCCACCCGCATCCCCGCAGCGCGGTCCCACGGGCATCTGCCGGCCTCTGGGGAAGAGAAGTGCTCGCTAGCCTGCAGCTGGATCCAACGAACGAAAGAAAACTTTTCTTTTTTTTTAATAGTTTTTCTTCAAGTGACCTATGCAGAAATTTTGGAGTGTGTTTCACATTTTTCCTAACAAACCTCACGTCCATGCTGCTTACCGTAGGTCAGACTGTACGTGTGAAGTGGATGAATAAGTACTGAGAGAGTTATGAGGCTATATTTTTAAATTAAATTGTTATAAATTTTAAATGGTATATACTCAGAATAGAAGTGATATTGCTATGGTACTTGCCAATTGTTTTATTACTAGTATTTCATGCACTTCAAACATGTCTACCTCTTAAAAATGATTTATATCCTTTTAAATTTGTAGAGTTGTTTATGTAATTTCATTCCTGAACGACATTTACAGAATGTAGGCAACATCTCCAGAATATTTCTTGTCAGAATATATTCCCTAAATTCAGGGGAAAACATGACTCAGATATTAATATATTAAGTTACAGGTGTCCAAAAAAAGTGCAATTTGTTTTTTGTGATTATGATTGTGAATTCCGTTTTCATTTCAACTGTTAGTTTGAGCAAATTATGGTTAAAAAAGTGTCACTCGTATATGTGTGACATGAGCAGGCAAAACGAGCTTTAATTTATTTATGTTTGCTTTTTGACTGAACAGAATGAACTAAAACTCTTTGTAGATTAACTGGAAGGGTTGCTGGTGGACCTGCCAGGCTGGTGCCTAACATTACCATTTGGCTCCACAAAGTCTACTTTGTTCTTTATACCTGAAGATTTGTGTCTAGATATGTTACCTGATGCGGTTATAAACAAAGTTCTGAATACTAAAGGAAACTTAAAGGAACTACACAAAATCTTTTAGTCTGTCAAAAATCATGATTTCTTCTTAACTCTTTCTAAATGCAGGATGAGTATCCCGGTATAACCTCTCCTTCTAGCTGTGTAACTGCTGGAAGACCTGGTAAATCATCTTCCAATGTGTCCTGGCAGAAATGGGTGATGCAGAAGCTGAGACCAGTAGCTTACAGGTTAATTAACTGCAAACACCTTTCCCCAAAGTGTCAAGCACATTTGATATAATTTAATTTCATGCTTTCTAGAAGGCTGACTTGCCTGAAGGTTGCTACCAGTGGCCACGGATGTGTGTCCTAAGTGTTAGTGACGTCGTCAGTTCTCTCATGGACCAGAGGGGTGTTCTTAGACAAAAACAATTAAGGCAGAAAGGAAATCTTGCTGAATGAAGTTGCTTTTACTGTGGATTGGAGCCAATAAACATTATTTGTATCAAAGGTTAGGATCCAATCCCCAGAGTATAGGAACTATATTTTGCTCGTGAGTTTGGACCCATTGTACTGGGACTTAAATGAAAAAGGAAACCTTTGCAAAACTCTGTTCCATTAAAAAACAAAACAAAACCAAAAAAACAACTCTGCAGCTTTTCAGGTATGCTTTAATTAGGACAGTTGCCCTATTCCCGGATTAAACTAAACTAAGGAACTTGTATTTGATGCAGTAAGGCAACATTTCACCAGGACTGCACAAGAAAGTACATAATTAGTAAAAAAATCATCACATCACTGTATTATATCTAACTTCAAAGTTGCTCTTAGTTTTTCTTGAGAGGTTACATGACAATTTAAATCCATAGCTGTATCTGCTACAACTGTAATAATAATAATAATAATGAGTAATAATAATATGCAAACTGAAGACATGTAAGATCTTTTTGGTGGAGTACATTATGCCTAACATTGCAAATAAATTAAAGGTAAAAAGAAATAGCAAAGCTTTTCATCTTACTTTTTAACTAGGCAATTCTAAGACTTTGGAGATATAGACTGACATTATTGAATTATCCCTAAACACAACTGTGACCTGTAACATTTCAAGGACCTTGGTTGGAGGGTTTGTTTGCATCACAAGTTCTTTAGAACGTGAAGGTTTATTGGAAGCCAGCTATACAGCTAAGGCACCATATGGTATGGACTTCCTCTTTACTACTGTTTGTTGTACATGCAAATGAGAGAGAGCTCATTTATTTAAACTTGCTTTGCTACACTCCTCCATCCAGTGGAATTTGCCCGAAAGCCTCAAGTCTTAATACCAGTCCATTTGCTAGCACTCTTATCATATAAACCATCTGACTTAGAGGACATTTACATTTGAGGCCTCATCAGAATGATGACAGCACACAGTTCACAACTGGTACGGGCACTAGTGGCTAAGGACAAAAATAGGGAATGCGAAGAAGTGGACCTCAGTACAACAGAGAGTGTAACTCCAGTTACTGAGGTGAGCAGAGCAGTGAGTGAAATAAGAGGCGTTTTGAAAGAAATTCTGAAGAAAACAATGAATTTTGGGTCAGATGACAAAAAAAGTTTGGAGAGGTGTTGAATTTGCTTCTGCACGCAGAGAAGGGCAGGGCCCTCTCCTGTGGTACCAACTCTGATTTCCATATATAGGAGTTTGTTTAGAGAGAAATCCCACTCCTGGATACAGATACCCCCAACCCAAGGCTTTCTCTGGAATTCCAGCGCTTTGATCTAGAGGTGTGCGCTTGCATTCCGAAAAACGCATCGTATCCTGGCCTGCATAGAAAGCAGCATGGCCAGCAGGTCGAGGGAGGTGATTGTCCCATCTGGTCTACTCTGGTCTTGTGAGACCCCACCTGCAGTAGTACTGTGTCCAGCTCTGGGGTCCCCAGCACACGGAAGATATGGACCTGTTCCAGTTGGTCCAGAGGAGGGCCCCAAAAATGGTCAGAGGGCTGGAACACCTCTCCCATGAAGAAAGGTTGAGAGAATTGGAGTTGTTCAGCTTGAGGAAATGGCAGCTCTGGGGAGACCTTCTTGCAGCTTTTCGATATAGAAAGATGGAGAGAGCCTGGAGGCCTGTAGTGACAGGACAAGGTGTAATGGTTTTAAACTAAAAGAGGGTAGATTTAGATTGCATATAAAGAAGAATTTTTTTTTGTAACAAGGGTGGTGGGACACTGGACCAGGTCACCCAGAGAAGTTGTGGATGTCCCATCCCTAGAATTGTGCAAAGTCAGATTGGACGGGGCTTTGAGCAACCTGGTCTAATGGAGGGTGTCCGGGCCCATGGCAGGAGGGTTGAACTATATGACCTTTGATGGTCTCTTCCAACCCAAGCTGTTCTACGATTGCCATCTTCTGACATACACGTATGCAGGGATCTGTTCTGGAAACTAAATATAGAAGACTTGCACACGTTAAAACACAGTTTTGACATCATCACAGCTCTTCAAGAAGAGAAGTATAAGTGCCAGGAGATATGTAGCTGCAGCTAATGAGGATAAATAAAACAGCATAATGAGGATCACTAAAACAGCGTAATAAAAACATTACAGCTCTAAACATATCCACTTGCAAACAAACCCCTTAGGCACAGATACTATCACCATATCAAAATAGTCTGGTGCTCCAGGCACCTCTCTTTATGTTTCTCCCCACAAATGATCCCTGGTGTCCCCCTTTGCCCAGAATCCAGTCCTACCTAAACAGCCTCTCTGTTACAGCTTGGGGGTGGGGGAAGAGCAGCACAGGGTGTAGCGTCTTGGTATAGGTGGTATTTTCCTTCCTCCAGGCACAGAGCATTAGTCTTCCTCCCCAAGGGATGGGGAGGACAGAGGTGCTGCACAGGTGAGAGCTGTGGCCCTAACACAGAGCGCTGCGGACCATCAGGTACAGCTTCTGGGAACATCCTAGCGAGAGGAATCAGCCGGAGAGTCTTTCTCACAATTTATAACAGAGACTCAAAAGAGCTTTAGCATTGCACTGTTGGGTGAAACTCGTGCCAACAATGTAGAATATTAATTCAAATAATATCGCCCACTGTTAACTGATGTAACAAGAGGAACAGCTATGCTCAGTAAGGGAATTTAAAAATGGTAAGTCTGAAAAAAAACTACCCACAACCCAAAACAAAACAAACAAAAAACAAACCAGGAAACAGGAACATACCAGCACTGCAAGGAGTTTATTCAGAAGGGAAAGATGCTACATTGTTGCTTTACCCTGCAGATCTGACTATTTAGGTATTTAGGTCAAAATGAGCCCCTTCCCCTAATGCATTTCTCATTTTATTTCTAAATAAAGTCCCAGGGAAGCTTTACATCCTTTAGAGAACAAAGGCCTGCAAAGACAGCCTTTCTTCATTCGCAGATATAATTATCTGGCTTTGGGACAGTCTCTTAATTATTTTCATGCTGCATAGCTTCATCCACTCCTCCGAGTCTTTTAGCCACCGCCCCCCCCTATATTTCACACTACAAGTAGCCTGTGAAATCATGAAAGTTGAGCAGATTCAATCTTAAGTGTTTTACTGATTCTGTTACAAGAAACACACAAAACAATCGATGAATCACCACAAGCATAATTGGTGTTCTTTCATGAGAAAGAATGAGGACTTTAGCAGTTTTATCACCACTCACAGGCAGAAACCAAAAGAAGCGACCACAGAGCATGGTTTTAGGTCCTTAACAAAAGCAAGATAGAAGAAATCCTTAGCACCTTTGTAAAGAAAGCATCACAACTCTTTTTCTGAGTGTGTGGGTGGCTCTGAAAAGAGCCTTTGGGTTATAGTGTTGCTGTTTACAAAGTCTCAGTCGCTTTGATCGCTGAGCTTATTTGCTCTTGGCTTTATGACTTTCAGTCTTCTTGGGCAGCAGCACGGCCTGGATGTTGGGCAGCACCCCGCCCTGCGCGATCGTCACCTTGCCCAGCAGCTTGTTGAGCTCCTCGTCGTTGCGGATGGCCAGCTGCAGGTGGCGGGGGATGATGCGCGTCTTCTTGTTGTCGCGGGCCGCGTTGCCCGCCAGCTCCAGGGTCTCGTCCGTAGGGACCTCCGGCCCGCCCGCCATGTAGACGGGCGCCCCGGCCCCGACTCGCTCTGCGTAGTTACCTTTGCGGAGAAGGCGGTGGACGCGGCCGACGGGGAACTGCAGCCCGGCCCGCGACGAGCGCGACTTGGCCTTGGCGCGCACTTTGCCTCCCTGCTTCCCACGGCCCGACATGTTTCAGACGCCTGAAAAAGAACGACAACCGCCCCACGCTGCAAAAGACAGAGAAAGACATCCTGACGCAGCGGCTCTTCCCCTTTTATCCCCTCCCTGGGCGGGATTAGCCCTTGGTGATTGGCTGGAAGCAGCCGGTGCATACACAACCAATGAGAAGACGGATCGTGTTATGACCAATCAGAGAGAAGGGTACGCCCCGCGTAGGGGGAGGACCAATCGTATTGTACGAGTGAGAGGTTCGGCGTTTGCATAACAGCAGTATAAATAGAGGGCGCTGCGGCCATTTTAGCTGTCGAGCAGCTCGTGAAAGAAGCTGAAAATCTGTTCAAAATGCCCGATCCGGCCAAGTCCGCCCCCGCGCCCAAGAAGGGCTCCAAGAAGGCGGTGACCAAGACGCAGAAGAAGGGCGACAAGAAACGCAAGAAGAGCCGCAAGGAGAGCTACTCCATCTACGTGTACAAGGTGCTGAAGCAGGTGCACCCCGACACGGGCATCTCGTCCAAGGCCATGGGCATCATGAACTCCTTCGTCAACGACATCTTCGAGCGCATCGCCGGCGAGGCCTCGCGCCTGGCGCACTACAACAAGCGCTCCACCATCACCTCGCGGGAGATCCAGACGGCCGTGCGGCTCCTGCTGCCCGGCGAGCTGGCCAAGCACGCCGTCTCCGAGGGCACCAAGGCTGTCACCAAGTACACCAGCTCCAAGTAGAGCCTCTCGCGCCGCCAGTTTTAACCCAAAGGCTCTTTTAAGAGCCACCCACATACTCCCTGAAAGAGCTTTAACGCATTAGTATCTCAGTTTTTTCAGGTGTGAAAACTTACTTAAGGAAAAAAAAAGTAAAACTTGCAATGAATCTGTTCAATCACATTATCAGCTTATAATGATTAATAGTCTATGTCTGAAATCCTTGATGAATGTTTTATAGTTTCAAGTACATTCAAATTAGTTAACATTTAGGAATGGTTAATAACATTCAAATACTTTTGCAGCAAACTGTCAGCAACACTGTTAAGCTTTTCTACAACAGAGATAGGAGATCCAGTGCATTCTACTACAAGTTCGATCATAAATAAGAAATTCACAGATTTCCCAGTAGCTACGTTAACGCAGCCGCCCTAAAAAATGAGGATGAGGGAAAAACAGACGACCCTGACCACTTATTTTTTGCATAGCGGTCCCGGGACGGTCTGAGCTTTAAATTTTCCCGTTCTGTATGAGAAGACGGGAAGCAGTCTTGCAGATAAGAAGACCGGGAGAAGCGGGGACACCTCTAAGGAGGGGTAGATGCTTGGAGAGGACGAGCTGTCCAGGGACGCGGGACCACCGGCAGCCGCGCGGGCTTTTCCAAATTTTCCGATCGTCCGATAAGCGGCTG